AAAATTGGGTTTTTTTTGTTGTTTATAATACATTTTTGTTATGTTATGTTGGCTTGGAGTTGTAATTGGGAAGGGGATTGGAGGGATGAGGGTTAGAGGGTTAAGGGGGAAGTTTTTGGGCGAAGGGGAGAAAGGGAGGAGTAGTGGGGGGGTATAAAAGATGTTGGAGCAGGAAAATGATGTTTTGGGATAATGCCGGGGGGAGAGTGAAACGCGTCGTCGTTTTTTCGGTTCTGGTGGGTGCGTGGTGACTCACGTCCGGTGAGTGAATGCACGCTGGTTTGCGGTGTTCCGGAGTGACTTCCTGCTTGTCTAGAAGGGATTTCTATCTATCTTTGCCAGTCCACTTCTACCAATGGAAATCTTGTCATATAATATGAGCCTCTGGGCCTATTATGAAAGCCTGACTATATTTTGTATCATGTGAGTGTATATGAAGGCAGACTTTTTTTTTTTAATTAAAGCTTTTTTTACAGTATTGCACTATTTGTTGTTTTTGTTTTGTTTTCCATTGTCATCCAATCGTGGGAGTCGTTTCTGCAGGATATTGAGTGCAGAGTTATCTGGGAGGACACGCCCACTCATTCTGCGCTTGTCTGACTCTTGTGCCATATCAGGGAAGAGTCCATTCCATCTGCTGAGGGGGGGAGGAGCATTCATCACGGATGGGGGGAGCACATTGGTTTGAGGAATTGTGGAGCACTGTTTTTTTTGGGATTGAGCACAAATTCATATATTTTTGGAAAAAAAAAATAATTTTTTTTGTGTTGACTTTATATTTATTTTTTAGGACTTTTATTTATAGTATTTTATTTTTATATATAATTTATTTGCGCTGTGGAGTGTTTATAATTTTACAAAAATAATTACATGTCCATGTTCTGTGTTCTGTGTGAGACCAGATATAGTGAATGCGGGGTCTGGGCAGAGCAGTTTATACTGAATGCAGGGGTCCTGGGGGAGCAGATACAGTGTTCCCTCGCCACTTCGCGCTTCATGTTTTTGCGGCTTCAGTACTTCGCGGGTCAGCAGCCACATTGTGGAAAGGAGGTGTTTGTTTCATGTTGATGCGCAAAAAGAGAAGGATCCCTGCATGTCAACCAAAGAGATGAGTTGACTCAGAGTACTGGATACATACCACGGGCTTTCATAAAGGCGCGTGATTGGTTTCCGGTGTGACATCGACCAATAAGAGTACGAGTGATTTATCCCTGTGAGTTGATTGTCTGTGCATCATTGCAGCCTCACTTAGCATCTTCCCTTGTTGTATCTCGCCAGTCTTGTCCATGATGTTTACATATTAAAACATTCTTGTACAGTACCCTCATACACAAACATTCCGAGGGGCAAATACTACTTCGCTAGGGTTTTTTCAGCTTTTGCGGGAGGTTCTGGTCCCCATTAACAGCGAAAAACGAGGGATCACTGTATAGTGAATGCAGGGTCCAGGGTGAATGGATATAGTGAATGCAGGGTCCAGGAAGACCAGATATAGTGAATGCTGGGTCCGGGGAGAGCGGATATAGTGAATGCAGGGTCCGGGGAGAGCGGATATATGAATGCAGGGTCCGGGGAGAGCGGATATAGTGAATGCAGGGTCCGGGGAGAGCAGATATAGTGAATGCAGGGTCCGGGGAGAGCGGATATAGTGAATGCAGGGTCCGGGGAGAGCGGATATAGTGAATGCAGGGTCCGGGGAGAGCGGATATAGTGAATGCAGGGTCCGGGGAGAGCGGATATAGTGAATGCAGGGTCCGGGGAGACCGGATATAGTGAATGCAGGGTCCAGGAAGACTGGAGATATAGTGAATGCAGGGTTCGGGGAGAGCAGATATAGTGAATGCAGGGTTCCAGGAAAGCGGATATAGTGAATTCAGGTATGGGAGAGTGGATATAGTGAATGCAGGTCCGGGAGACCATATATAGTGAATGCAGGGTCCGGGGAGACTGGATATAGTGAATGCATGGTCCAGGGAGACCAGATATAGTGAATACCAGTGTCCGGGAGACCAGATAGTGAACACGGGGTGGGGGAGACCAGGTATAGTGAATGCAGGTCCCGGGAAAAGGGATATAGTGAATGCAGGGTCCGGGGAGAGCGGATATAGTGAATGCAGGGTCCGGGGAAAAGGGATATAGTGAATGCAGGGTCCGGGAGACCTGATATAGTGAATGTAGGATCCAGGGAGACCTGATATAGTGAATGCAGGGTTCCAGGGAAAAACCAAATACCAGTACAGGGAGACTGCATATAGTGAATGCAGGGCCCATGGAGAGCAGATCTAGTGAAATGCAGGGTCCCGGGGAGATCAGATATAGTGAATGCAGGGTCCTAGGAGACCAGATATAGTGAAATGCAGGGTCCTGGGAGACCAGATATAGTGAATGCAGGGTCAGGGGGAGAGCAGATATAGTGAATGCAGGGTCCCTGGAGACCAGATATAGTGAATGCAGGGTCAGGGGAGAGCAGATATAGTGAACGAAGGGATGGGTATAGTGAATGCAGGGGCCGGGGGTGGAGTGTGCGGATGACATCATGACGTTACCATTCATCGGGACAGCGTTATAGTACTCTGTAAATGGCTCTTGGAACGACATTCCAGCAGGCAATAGCATTCATTAAGTGGCCCCGTGCTTTGCCTGGCATTACATTACAGATGGGGTCTGGTTTGAGCATGTACAGGTCTCTGCTGCCATCTAGTGTCTAATCAGTACATCACTGGATGTTCATCATACCTGGTGCAATATACACCTCCGGAACGTGAGTGCATTTCTTATGTTTAATTGATGAATAAAAGTGTAAAAGGATAAAGCACTAATGTGGAGTTCTTTTTAATGAGGAATATGGGCTGATACAAAGACGCTTATCAGATCAGAGGGAGATTACTTTGGAGTCCTCATTCAACAAGCTGATCTTCTGAATCCAAATGGGACCAAAAGTGCAGTTAGATGTAACATTGTATAATGTGCGTTATATAATATATATCCCTTGAGGTCATCAGCTGGTCAAAGTAGGGTTTGGAATCCAATGGCCTCCATCCAGCGTTCCTGGGTGTTATTTCTAGGACATCAGGATGATCCCTCGGATGTTAGCCTATGGACTACTCCTTAAGTGGTAAAAACGCTCCTTCCCCAGCAGTGAGATGAAAGACTGTAAATTGATACTACCCGAGGGTGTCAAAACAGAAACATCTCCATAGTGTAGTAAATTCGTATTTTATTTGGGTAAAACGAGGATAAAAATCAATATTCGTACGAGAGAAATCATGGGACTGACCGTCCAGTGTTAAAGATGGCCACCGGAGCTCCACGATGCTCCGGCGGCGTGACGTCACGGCGTTCCTGGCTCCTCCTACGCGTTTCGTGCACACGCACGTCGTCTGGGGGGGATTTGCCAATAACGCCGAGCCGTGTGACGCCAATTTATATGCTAGGCGCATGCGCATTAGGAAGGCGCCATGTTTTAGGAGTCTCATTCATAGGCGTCCGGACCATCGTACGGGCGCCGTTTTCCGTTGGTTTATTTTGAATGCATACTGTTATAGCTGCAGTATGTCTGACTAGCCAGCACTCATTATCTGATGGACATAAATGAGAACACCTATCGTCCTTAATCCATATTTAGCACTTAAGAACTACTCAGTGTATAATCTTTTAATGATAATGAGAGAAGCAAAATAAATTTAGAATGGTATGATAAAAATCTTATTCAATCAACCAAATCAGAATGCCAAATCATTCCAAATGAAAATATATATATATAGCACCAGCATATAAAAAAGTGTACTCATAAAGGTATATATGTATGGTGCATCATAATATAGTAACATCAGATACATTCAAGAATATCCATATCAGGATTATTATCAAATATTGCTATTAGTGTTATAAAGATACAATTAAAATAATATCTATAAATCTTTATAAACAACACATCTGGAAGAAATATAACCATGATTAACCAATCCTGACCATTGTAAATGGATGGCAATAAAAAGATTATAAGATACAATAAAATGAGATAAAATAAAATAGAAGAAGAAATAATAAAATGGGTAAAATGAGGGGGACGACAAAAATAGCACCATTCTGTTTCTTGTTATATTCTCTTAAAATAACAGCTGAAAAAATTTTTTCCCAGATAAGCCAGAAAGTTATATATAAAAAAGCTATGGCTCTGAGACATCGATTAGCCCAAATGTTATTAACCCCCCCAGAGAAAATTTCTTTTGCACCAAATATAAAAGGATTCTTTCCCTGCAATAAGTGCGTTATTTGCACAACTAATAATGTAAGAAAACATAAACAATATTCTTTCACCTCATGTACCACGGGCAGAATATACAATATAGATAAATGTATAACATGCTATAGTAAAAAACGTTTGTATACCTCCTCGAATGTCCATGTAGTAAACTCCAGTATGTGGGACGCACCACCAGGACGTTTACGCGACAGATTGCGAGAAACACATTAATAACATTAAAAATGGTTATAAGTAGAAATGAGCGAATCGAAGTAGGCGAAGTGGAATTCGAGTCGAATATCGAAAATTAGCCTACTTCGGAACGCGCGAATCGAAATTTTTTCCTAAAATGGCGGCGGACCATGTGCGGCGACGGAGCGGGGATGTCTGGGAAGGGGCACGCAGACAAGGCGCGCTGACCCATAATGCATTCCTTAATGACATGTGATTCGCATTAGCCAATCAGCAGCCAGCCAGCCAGCACTGTGTAATGGTCGAGCTATAAATAGCGTGCGGCCATTTTAGAATCTTCATTTGCCCTCCAGTCATTGAACAGAGAGGCAGACCGCTCTGTATTAGGGACAGAGTTAGGGCCACAGAAACTTTACTTGAAGACAGAGAAACGTTACTTAGGACAGAGAACTATTACTCAGGGACACAGAATTGTTAATGAGGGCCACAGAATCGTTTACTTAGGGCCAAAGAAACGCTAAGTTTAGGGCCACAGAATTGTTACTCAGGGGACAGACAGAATTGTTTTACTGGAGTGCCAGAGAATTGTTACTAGGGCCACGAGAAACGTTTATTAGGGCCACAGAATTGTTACTCAGGGACAGACAGAATGGTGTTACTGTGAGTGCCAGAAGAATTGTTACTTAGGGCCACTGACAGAATCTTTAGTTAGGGCCACAGAATTGTTACTCAGGGGCAGACACAGAATTGTTACTGAGGCCACAGAACTGTTACTTAGGGCCCACATGAAAACGTTATTAGGGCCACAGAATTGTTACTCAGGGGACAGACAGAATTGTTACTGAGTGCCAGAGAATTGTTACTTAGGGCCACAGAAACTTTAGTTAGGGCCACAGAATTGTTACTCAGGGATCAGACACAGAATTGTTACTGAGGGCCACAGAACTGTTACTTAGGGCCACAGAAACGTTATTAGGGGCCACAGAATTGTTACTCAGGGGACAGACAGAATTGTTACTGAGTGCCAGAGAATTGTTACTTAGGCCACAGAAACTTTAGTTAGGGCCACAGAATTGTTACTCAGGACAGACACAGAAATTGTTACTGAGGTGCCCACAGAACTGTTACTTAGGGCCACAGAAACGTTAGTTTAGGGCCACACGGAATTGTTACTCAGGGACAGACACAGAATTGTTACTGAGGGCCACAGAACTGTTACTTAGGGCCACAGAAACGTTATTAGGGCCACAGAATTGTTACTCAGGGACCGACAGAATTGTTACTGAGTGCCAGAGAATTGTTAGTTTAGGGCCACAGATTTGTTACCAGAGAATTGTTATTAGAGGGCCACAGAATTGTTACGTTAGGCCACAGAATTGTTACTCAGGGACAGTCACAGAATTGTTACTGAGGGCCACAGAATTGTTTATATCTATCGCACAGACACAGAATTGTTACTCAGGGGATCAAAGAATTGTTACTGAGGGCCACAGAACTGTTACTTAAGGTCCACGAGAATTGTTACAAGCACAGACACCGAATGGTTACTCAGGGGTTCTCGAAAAGACACCAAATTTTTACCCGGGGCACAGAATTGTTACT